TTATTCTTGTAGTAGCCAGTCATACTGACATTTTTGTTTTGAGTTTTTCCTGACTATTTTTCTTTGAAGATGTATCTTCTGTTGCTCTAGCTGTTCCAGGCGGGTTTGCTTGTCCTTGCTAGTGGGACTGTCCCACCTCATAAGGTTCTGGATGGGACTCAGGATTCCACCTAAAGTCCTATACTCCGCAAAGGGTCCGCAAGAGGCCTATTTCACTGGACAAGTTCTAGAACACCTTTTAGGTATTCCAGTCAGGTATAGGCTGAAGACGGGCTTAAAAGTTTTCTTTAATCATGTTTGCCAACATTCCTTTCTATCCCACGCAAGTGCCTATTTTACAGTAGTAGGCAAGGGAAACCAATATTCATAAGACAGTCAAGCATGTTAGTATTATGTCCCCTCTTAAAACTATGCATAGATCCCTGTATCACAGAGCCCTGTTCCTCCAAGGTTGAGCATCCATCACTATTTGCCTCTGTCCCACTTAGGCCAAGCAAACCTGTCTCATTGTTCCCCTATCAACCTTGTTCCTCCACCTCCTCCCCCTTCTTGTATTGCCCTCCCCAATACCTGAACAAAACCCCCCCACCCCAACCCAACTGTTGTGGTTACCTTATATTCTATTAAGTCTTCCCTCCATTTAAGACAGTCTGTTTTACCCTGTAATCTACCTGACCTCACCACCTGGATCTCTGTTCCTCTGTGTTTACCTTCTTTCACACTGTAATTGCTTTGATCATAGATTGACGTCTCAGATCCTCTGTTATACTTTTATTCTGTTCTTGACTCTTGCACTTGTCGATTGAGTTCAGGGTGATGCTGCCACATAAGTCATTCTCAGGTTGTTGCCTCTTCATGTTGTTTCTCAGTCCATTCACTGGTTGTTGTCTGTTCTTGTTGGTTCTCAGTCCAGGTAACTTTCTTTAGGATGTTTTTCATAGCAGGGTTGGCTTTGGCAAAATCTCTTAGCTTCTGTTTATCCTAGAATGTTTTGATTACACCATCATATTTGATTAACAGCTTTGCTGGGTAGAGGATTCTTGTGTGGCAGTTTTGTTTTTTTTTTTTCTTTCATGGTTTTGTATATGTTTCTCCATTGCTTTCTTGCCTGCATGGTTTCTGTTGAGAGATCCAAGCTTAATCTGATTTGCTTACACTTCTCTTTTCCCTAACTGCTTTCAGGATTCTGTCCTTATCTTTGATTTTGGAGAGCTTGATTATTATATGTCTTGGTGATTGTCTTTTAGGGTCTGCCCTTCCTAGGGTTCGTTGAGCTTCTTGAATGCTTATAGTTTTGCTTTTCCGGATATTAGGGAAATTTTCTTCCAGAAGGTCTTCAACTATCTTCTTTGTGAATTTGAGTGATTATTCCTGTTCTGAAATGCCAGTAATTCTTAAGTTATTCCTCTTCATGTTGTCCAACTTGAGTCTTAGGCCTTCTTCAGATTTTTTAAATCCTTTTTTGTGTTTGTTCTTCTATCTTAGTAGTGTTGAGAGATTTATCTTCTAGCTCACTAGTTCTG